TAATTTACACTTTTACACTTGTTAATAGCATTTTTAGTGGATTTACTGTAATATTTTTCGGATTTTTTTTTTCAATTAAAAAAAAAAAAAAACATTTACTTTTGTAACGATGGAGCTATCGATAGTATAAATAGCTAACCCACCGATCGCTCTAACGGGCGATTATTGGAAACGTTATCATGGTCTAGAGATCGGAAGAGCTTTTGATTTTAGCTCAGATGTTTAGTTATAGAATTTGTTGTCAAGGCTTTCCGTTTGCTATTTTTCCTAGAGTTGAGGTCTAAGCCCTTTGACACTAAGCCTTGACACTTAGCTAATCTAAGTTTGCAATTTAAATGAAAACGGTAGCTAACCTGTCTAGCTTACGAACTAGATCTTCGAATATCAAGTCATTCAGAATATATAGCTGACTGCGCTCTCTCTGCCTGCATGGCATAATTAGTATATCCTGAAAGAAGAGTATGCTCGCAACATGGATAATGAACAGGCTGGCTTTATTTAACCTGCCGCAGAGAGCACACAAAACACACACGCACACACACAAAACACACACGCACACTAGCTCATCTACACATTTGTATAGAATATTTATTTGATGTGTGGTTTCCTTTCGCTTTGCAGCTAGGACACGCACACAGGACGAGCGCTTATTCCCAACTGGCTAGCAATTGAGCAATTGTGAAAATGGGTAAGTGAGCGAGTGAGAGAGAATGGCGACACGACACACTAATGAACGTCCATTTGGGAGACGGCATCACCTAGCAATCTGCAATTTAACTGCTTCCATTTTGTGTTACAGATGCGCTACGCTTGCGTGGTTCGCCATTTGTGCGCTTCGGTGGTGGGGCCGGGCATGGACCCGGCTTGCCACATCCACATCCACATCCACATCCCCAGGCACAGGCACATGCACATGCCGCACACAGCGCTCAGCAGGAGCCGCTCATTGTTGTGGAGGAATCGAATTTGCCCGAAGAAGTGGAGCCGGAGAGCTCTGAGACATTCTCGAATCGCGCCAGCCTGGACATCGACTCGCCCGTCAATCCCTACTTGCTATCACCATGGCGCGATCCGCGCGAGGCCCGCAAACACTCTCTGCCCTCACAGCAGGTCACCGAGGGCATCACCGCCAGTCAGGTGCGCCGTCTATCCGAGCGCGGCGGCGAGGGCTCCGGCCCATCGCCCAAGGAGGCAGCATTCCTGGCCACACTCTCACAGGCGCCGGCTCCATCTGGCCGCCGGCATTCAGTTGTCACCATCTCGAAGGTGCCCACCACACTCTTTGGACGCTCTCGCCGCGAATCTGTCGCCGCCTACCCCTCGAGCAATGGGTAAGTGACTTGGCTGCATTATGCGAATAGGTTTTCTTGTTCTCAAATGGGGGTTTCCCTTGCTTGGACGAAGAATAAATAAGAATTTAATCTGCAGACATGAAATATATTTTAGCTGAACTCTATTGCCATGATTATTGTCTTGACTTAGTCTTTTATTGTCTATTCGATAACTTCATGTAAATTCATGATTTGTCAATTCAATTCTTCAATTCACTATACCTGTCTCTTACTAGAAGGATCCTTTCGCATACTACAAATAACTCTAAGACCATAATCGTTGATGCCTCCGATGGATGAGTCTCTTGTCTTGATTTTGTTCTATGCAATCTATTCGATTTGTCTTCATCTGAGGATACGTTCATATTGTTGAAATAAGTTTATTTCAGTATTGCAATGATTATGAGGTCCTTAATTCAATTGAATTCTGTTTCCTAGAAGGATCCTTCCGCATACACAAAATAACTCTATTGTGGTACAATTCTAATATCTAATCATTACTGCCTCCGATGGAGGAGTCTCTTGTCTTGACATAGTTCTCTGCAATCTATTCGATTTGTCATTATCTGCGCATGGACCAGTCTTAATTATTCTATTCCCTTTATCTTCTTATAAGAATATGTTCATGCGCTTTAAATAACTTTAATTTAGTTGTGCAATCATCATTGGGTCTTCAATTGAAATGAATTCAATTCTTACTGTGAACTTAGTTTCCCAAAAGGATCTTAAAACAACTCCATTGCGGTACAGCTACATGTAATATGAGAATCATGGGTGCTTCTGATGAGAGTCGTCTGGCCTTGACTTGGATCTCTATAAAGCGATTCGATTTGCATTCGAGTCGTTGCCCATTTCGATTGATTATTGAAATGTGCATTTGCTCTACCTGGAGGGGTCCTTTCATATACTGAAGTAAACTCAATGGTATTACACCTGGTCCATTGATTCCTCCACCGTTGACATAGATCAGTAAAAGCTCTTCAATTGGCTCGTTTCTGTGCACTAAGTCTAGAAGGATTCTTAAACATGTGGAAAGGAATTCTATTTTAGCTGTCCCCTTTTATTGCGATCTATAAGATCTACAAGATTAATTACCATATAAAATGTGCAATGGAGTTGTTAAGCATTTCGATGGGCTATTGCAGCAGCAGCCGCGTCTTGAACTCCCGGCGGGAGAGCAACACAGGACCCCCATCGACAGACCCGATTGGCAGCATACACAATCTGCAGCTGGACATTATGGATGACATCTATTTGCAGTCGCGCAAGGCACGCTTGAAGCTCTGGACGTCGAGCAACGAGAAGGTGTGCGAGGTGCAGACGGTGGACGAGGTCGGTGCCGCTGCACCCGCCCGCCGCTACACGAACCGCCGCTACTCCGAGTGCCCCCAGCCGGGAGGCGCTGGCGGCAACATTATGCGGCGCGCCTCCGAGCATCCACAGGCGCCGAGTGTGTCGCCGCAGCCGCTGTCGGCGCGTGCGTCGACGCGACGCAAGAAGTCGGGCAGCGGCCTGGGCCTGCTGGGCAGCCGGACGGACATCGCTGGCATATTCAGCTCGATCACTGGCTCTGGCAGCTATTCGGGCCCCGATGCACACCGGCCGGATCCGGACGGCGGCTCGTCCAGCTCGTCGGGGGCCACCGGCAACAGTGCTACCAGCCCGTTCTTGAGCAATACGTTCCAGCAGGCGGCTCGGGGACGCACCACCAGCGCCACGCCCACCCCGAGCGGTGGGCAGACCTCGAGCAGCATGCTGCTCGATCCGAATGCTGGCCGCTCGACGCGCTCCAACAGCTTCGACGTGTCCATCTTGAACAATGCCAAGCAGCTGGTGAGCGAGGCGCAGGACAACAGCTCGGCGGCCATATCCGGCTGGTTTGGCAAGCGTCCGACGACGCCGCTGCCGCGCAAGAAGAGCGTGCGCAGCAAGAGCAGCGCCATGGCCCTCTCCAAGGACATGCTCGAGCGGCTGCAGAAGAAGGATCCGCTAGGCGGCGACTCCGGCAAGCCGAAGCTAAAGCCGCGCAGCAAGCAGAAGAAGAGCTGGACCGACGCCACCAAGGCGAACATTGTCGATGCCACCATCCTGGGCACGGCCATCGAGGGCTTTCTGCGCAAGAGCTCCAATGCCAGCATGGGCGGCGGCATGAATCCAGCCGGCGCTTCGACCTCATCGGCCAGTCGCTCAGCGGCGGCCAGTGGCAGCAGCCGCGGTGCTGTGCCCAAGGACTCCGGCGCCAGTGGCAGCAGCTCCAGTGGCTCTGGGGCTGGGAGACGTGGCCGGCCATCGGCCGCCAGCTCGGCCCAGTCGCAGGCTGGACGTGCAATGCGCTCAACGCTCAACTGGTTCAGCAAGGGCGACGAGGACGACTCGAAGGACACGTGCGATGCTTCGCTGTGCGCCACGCTCAAGGATCTGTTTGTCAAATAGATCGGGCCTCCGAGACGCAAGTAAACGGCCAGCAAAGCTACACGCAATGGGAACTAGAGGAATGTAAGGTGAGCTGAAGATAGATAGATGGATAGGCTGTCCATATTCGACTGACCCATGATATTTTTTGGGCCCTCTCTAATCGATGAGGCTTGTGACCGATCCGGCATCTCTGTACAAATATTTAAGGCTGGCTGGGTCAGACGAATATGGACAGCTCTTTACATAGTACATATACACCTAGATCTCTTTCCCTTTATCTATTGCTCTTCGCTTTTCGTATCTCCCATGCAGGATAGCTACTTGCATCTCGAGCATGAACAACAAGACAAACACAATGAAACGAAATCATTTTGCATTTTTCATACAAATCAATCGAAACGAAACGCAGGATAAGTTACTAACAGCCGGAACAAAAGGTACAATTTGAAACAATAACGGTAAATCGTATAGGTGATCTGAGTGACCAGAGTGACGTGGCACACGTAGTAGTAAATAGCAATAGCAGAGATACATTTTTTAATGGCAACAGTGCAGGTGAGTTTTGTGATTAACGCTGGGCAGGGAGAAACCGTGGGCGAGGCAGGCCGAATGACAAATTTACCCCAAGAGACGGACATTGAAGCATACATATTCTAATAGAAATATATACACCCATATATATATAAACATATATATTTACATA